CACCCCGTTTTTATTTTTATTTTTAATCCCAGTAGCACCTCAAAAAGCAGAAGTGGCCTGAGCCAAGAAGGAGGCTTCTGCATCTCTGCCTGACCCCAGGTGCTGTGCACAGTGGACCACAGCTGTCCCTCTCTGGGCTTTGCTTTCCCTGGTGCTGTGGGCAACCTCTGAGGCACTTCCCCTTTGCTGTTGTGGATTTAGGGAAGGGAGCCCCGAGAGATAAGGAGGGATCCCCGAGCTCCTGGTGGCCAGCAGCACCAGGGACTCATGGCGGGACCTCAGCAAGTTGCTTCTCTAGGTGGTAACAGTGTCCTAAATGTTGACGTCACTGTGTCTAAGAAGTTTGGGGGCAGAGTGTGACTGAAATGTCAGTCTTCCCTTCGGGGTCTCAGGAGGTCTCATGAAGTTGCTTACTACCGGGTCGCTTCGGGCTGAGCTCCTTAATTCCTCTGGACCAAGTCAGCTCTGGAGGACCCTGGAGAAGCCTGGTGGGGCTCCGCCCTTGGGAAGGACAGACCAAGAGCAGGGGAGGGAGACAAATGGTCCCCAGAGGTCTTTGCTCCGCTCTAGGCCATTCTCAAGCCTTGTGAGGGGTGAATCCTGCAGCTCACAGAGCTCAGCTGCTATCAACTGTGCCCTCCTGGGGCCCTGGGGAGACAGCACCCAAGGGAGGGGGAGGCAGCAGCGAAAAGGTCTGGGGCAGCTCTCAACTTTCAGGGGGTCCAAGATGTGTGTAGCCTGGCCTGTGGGTCATCCCCGATATGTGGGAAGGCGTTGCACTCAGCGCCCTCCTCAGGTTTTCGAAACTTCACCGGAAACTAAAGGAACAATGTCACTTCATGCTGCAGCGATGGTGGTGGGAAATTTCCTCCCCTTTCATCAATGTGATCATAGACTGAGAGGGATGAAAGCGGGTGGTCCCAGTGACCCACCTGGACAGACGGAGACGGCGGAGACCCACAAGTGCCTGGGCAGAAGTCGCCTCTGAGAGCTGGAACTGATGGGCCCGAGGGAAGAGACTTACCAGCTTCTTCCCTTTTGTCTTCCCTTTTGTTTGTGGGTGCAGGAGCGGCTCTGGGACGCTGCTGATAGCATTTCCCAGTCTGCAGGTTGGGGATTTGGCCTGACAAAGCTCATGGCAGTGGTGCGACACTTGCACAGGATGCATGAATGATTAAGTCAGAGACCTCAAACTTACTGGACTTGACACCCCCTTTTCAGAAGAAAAATCACTCTGTACCCTTCTGGAAACTTATCTCCCTTAAGTGAACAAACAGAACCCCCCACTCACCCCCATGGCACCCAAGGCCAAAATGTCCCCCTCCCCATTATTCCAGGGCCTCTGCCTGAATGGGGGAGTGATACTGTCTATTCCGGGAAACACTGGTTTAAGATGTGTCTGGGTATGTTTTACAGTAAATGCATGACCTGCCGTGTTGGCTGTGGTTGGTTTGGGGCGTGGGTGCGAGTTCTCAGTCTTGTAGCATTGTGCATTTTTTGCAGTGAAGACAGAAGTAGAGAAACCTAGAAATATATATATTTTTTTCCAGAAGTTCAGGGCCAGAGCAAGAGTATAGTAGGTAGGGTGTTTGCTTAGAACCCGGCTGATCCGGGTTCGAGCCCCAACATCCCCAAGCACCTCTAGGAGTGATCTCTGAGCACAGTCACGAGTAAATTCTGAGCACTGCTGGGTGTGTCTTCCTCCCTCCTCCCAGAAATTAAAAAAAAAAAAGAAAAGAAAAGAAAAGAAAAAGAAATTTGAGTCAAGAGCAATTCTGAAGCACCCTCAGCACAGCTGACGGCACCTCCAGTAGGGCCTGGGGAGGGAGGTGCACCCTTTCCACGGAGGCTTCCTCAGCAACTTGAACTGTTTACCCAGCTCTCAAGGCGAGCACAAATCATCATCACGATCATGTTCCTGGCCTAACTGTTCTTACTGGGAAGTGCAGAGAGGTCAAGCAACTTCTCCGGGGCCGCCCAGCAAATCTGGGGGCAGAAGTGGGCTTCCAGCCCAGAGCACCCAAAAGTCTGTTCCGGCCCTACTCCCAGGCTTCCTGCCATTGACGATGTCACAGTCCTTTTCCTGTGGCTTTGCCAAGGGTGGCCTGGACCTGGGGAGGTGTGGGAGCACAATGTGCTTTCCTGATTAGCTCCCCAAGGGGGAGACCCACTGCGCTGGGACACAGGAGAGGCAAGACCAGTCTCCCTGGAACACGGGGGCAGCGGGGTCGTCCGCTCACGCAGCTCTCTGGGGGCTGGGATGGGGGCTCCCTCCTCCACTTCTCCCCAAGCGGTTCAGGGTGGTGATGGCACCAAGCGCTCCGTCCTGGACTGGCAACTCTGGGGCTCCTGCTCCTCTCTGGACCTTGGTTCTCCTGTGGGAGCAGAAGGTTGGGTGGGTCATGCTCAGGCCTGCATGTGGCAGAGAGGATGCCGGGTGAGTGCTGCTCTTCAGAGGCGCCCCCTGCAGCCTGTCAGGGGACCAGGTGCCCAGGGTGGCAGAGCCCAGGGGATCACAGGTGAGCCGTCAGAAAACGCTAGATCCAAGTCCAAGTGTGAAATGAATCCATTTCAACACAGGCACATGATGTGGACCGGGCAAGGGAAGGGCGCAGCCTGGTTCTGAGCCTGTCTTGGCATCCCTGCACCCCTGCCCCCTGTCCCCAAAGTGTCTCTGGTCCTGGCCTCACAGGGACGGAAGCCCAGCCAGAGAGCCAAGAACTGCTGGTTCCACTGACGAGCTGTGCCCATAACCAACACAGTGTGGACATCCCAGTTGGACATAGCCATCCCAAATGGGGACATGTGGGTTCTCACCTCCCAGGGTTCTGGGGAACAGGTTTTTTCAATTTTTTTTTGGGGGGGCGGTCATACCTATAAGTTCTCAGGGCTCACTCTTGGCTCTGCACCCAGGGCTCACTCCTGGTGGGGCTCAGGGGACCATATGAGATGCCGTGGATCAAACCTAAGTAGGCCACGTGCAAGGCCCTCCCCACTGCACTATTGCTCCAGCCTTGGGAATACCCCTGGTGTCATGGTGGCCAGCAGTCACAGGCATCCCTGGGGTAAGGGAAGACGGGTCTGGATTTGGAAGGTAGAGAGACCTCCCCCTGCCACGCTGCCATGTGCCAGCCAGGTGCCTTTTGTGAGTGTTAACGCACTTTCAAATCACCTCAGCTGAAACAGCTAAAATACCTTAGCTGCCAGTGCAAGGGGGGCACGTGTGGGAATTTGTCCCCTCAGTCAGGGCGCCGATGGCATGGTGAAGGGAGTGCCATGGTCTGGACACTGACAGAATGAAGACACAGCTGCAGCTGGGAGGACGCTCTTGATTTCTGCATTCCAATGCAGCGAGACCATCTTGTTAGGAGATTTAAAAAGCCATGAGAGGGGCTGGAGCTATAGTACAGAGGGTAGGGCATTTGCGTTGCACGCATCCAACCCGAGTTCGATTCCCAGCATCCCATATGGTTCCCCGAGCACTGCTGGGAGTAATTTCTGAGTGCAAAGCCAGGAGTAACCCCTGTGCATCGCGGGGTGTGACCCAAAATGCAAAAAAAAAATTTTTTTTAATTAAAAAATAAAAAGCCACAAGAAGCGTGTGGGATATGTGTGTGACTGGACTAAAACTGATTTATGTGTGTACACACTGTTTTGGGGGTGGTTTCTTGGCTACACTCAGCGTTGTTCAGAGCTTATTCGTGGCTCTATGCTCAGGGATTACTCCTGGTGGGGCTCTGGGGACCAGATGCAGTGCTAGGGGTGAATCACCAGCAGCCTCACGCAAGGGAAGTTCCTTAACTTGCACACTAGCTTTCCAGCCTTCACAAGTTTTTCTTTTCTTTTTTCACGATTTGCTTGGTTAAGACACGGGGATAATACAAAAATTTCATGTCTGAAGCGCCTCAGCATCCATCCTCCTTGCCCCTTGAAGGCAGAACCATGGGAGAAGGCAGAACCATGGGAGGCAATACGGTCCCTATTCAAAAATAAGGGGAGGGGGCTGGAGTGACAGCACAGCGGGTTGGGCGTTTGCCTTGCACACGGCCAACCGGTTCGATTCCCAGCATGCCATATGGTCCCTCGAGCACTGCCAGGAGTAATTCCTGAGTGCAAAAGCCAGGAGTAACCCCTATGCATTGCCGGGTGTGACCCAAAAACAAAAACAAAAAAATAAGGGGATGGCATTTGCTTTTCAACCGACTCACCCAGGTTCGATCCCCAGCATCCCTACATTGGTCCCCTGAGCACTGCCAGGAGTAATTCTTGAGTAAGGAGCCAGGAGGAATCTCTGCACATCACTGGGTGTGGTCCCCAAAGCGAAAAAGTAAATAAATTCAAAGGTCAGAGCGATAGTACAGTGTGTGTGGCGCTTGCCTTCAATGCTTCCAACCCGGGTTCAATCCCCGGCACCCCACATGATCTCCCAAGCACTCCCAGGTGTGATCCCTGAGGGCAGAGCCAGGAGGAAGCCCTGAGTACAGCTGGGTGTGACTCCCAAACCAAAATAAATAAATACAACATTTCCCTGCCAACCATACTGGACCCCAACAGCAGTGCAAGAAGGTGCTGAGGAGAGTTTGAGAAGCTCCACTTCAGGGAACGGGGAGCAGGTGGCCTTGCTTTCACCCACCCCCAGACTCTGTCCAGGGAAGAACGCTCTGACCGCTCCCATCCCTGTATCCCATTCCAGCTAGGAACCTCTTTTACTTAAAAATATCTTTTATTTTAAACCCACCAATTCTCCCTTACACACCCACAGGGTCTCACGCACGCGTGTGCGTGAACACACACACACACACACACACACACACACACACACACACACTTGCACTCACAGATTTACACACATCCTCTGTCACCAACAGTCCGTTTCCCAGAATGTCCACCTAGTCACTGGCCAGCCAGGGCTGGTGCTGGCTGCTGGGACCCTTGTCTGCTCCAGGGTGGAGTACAGCTGTCCTGGCGTGGGGCCTGCCCCGAGGGTGGGAGGAGGGGGGTGCCCCGGCCATTGTCCTCTTGTCCCTCACAAAGGAGGCTGGGGTTCAGCGCCCGGCGTCTTCTCCCTGTCCAGTGGGTGGCCGGCTTCTGGTTCCCTCTCGAGGGTCCCGCTTGGAGCAAGTGCCATAGGCGTCAGATTCATCTTCTTGACACTCGAAGGGGGGCCACCCCCCTCACCTTCAAACAGCTTCCTCCCAGGTCCCGGCGGCCACCCTAGAAGGGAGGAGAGAGAAGTGTTTGGAGGGTTAATCAGCTCATGGGTCACCCTGGCGCTAACCGACCTAGCGTCCAGCCCTCTGGACAGACGGGTCCCGGCCACACGGTGAAGGGCAGCAGGGCCCCAGCATGGACCAATGGGGGACAGGATGGAGGGTACACACTGGGCAGGGGCCTCTCTGGGCCATAGGAAGGGGTTCCTGGGAGGAGGAGCAGGGTGAGTGGGATGTGGAAGAGTGGAAAGTGTGGGAGCAGGGGAAGGCTCTGATTTTAGTAACATTTTTATCTTTCCCAAGTGTCTCCCCAGAGCATTTGAGTTTGAATAACCACCCAGTGCATTTAAAATTGCAACATTGGGGCTGGAGCAATAGCACAGTGTTTGCCTTGCATGCAGCCAACCTGGGTTCGATTCCCGGCATCCCATATGGTCCCCCGAGCATTGCCAGGAGTAATTCCTGAGTACATGTGCCAGGGCCAACCCCTGTGCATCTCTGGGTGTGACCCAAAAAGAAAAATAAATAAATTTAAAACTTTGCAACATTAATCTTTTTTTTTCTTTTTGGTGGAAGCGGGTTGTTTGAGTCACACCCCGAGGTGCTCAGGGCTTACTCCAGGCTCTGTGCTCAGGGGTCTATGCTGGTGGTGCTCAGAGGACCTGATGTGATGCTGAGGAGCATAGAAAGGCCGTGGGCAAGTGCCTTAGTCACTATCCTATCTCTCCGGCCCCAAACCACTTGTGAGACCAGGGCACAGGCACACCCCACAACCACCTTCCTGCCTTCATCCAGGGCGTCCACTTCGCCAAGAACATGCTCTCTGGCCGTCTCCCCAGAAAGTCTCTGTCCCTGCCTTGCACTTCCGGCCTCTCTGGGGGGACGTGAGCACCAGGATATAGCTCAGAGGGGGGGAGCTGGGCTTTCTCTTTTGTTTCCCCATGAGGGTTGGGAGCCCGGGACGGAGCAGGGAAAACGTTACTCTGGGCCCCAGTTCTAGTCCAGGGTCAGGCACGGAGCAGATGCCAAAGACCAACACAGCCAGTCCGTGGTGCCTGGTGGACATGCTAATGGTAGCAGCTCCTGATGCCGCTACTCGGCCTGCAGGGCTGTGCTCTGAGGCCTGACATGTGGGGTCACGGCTTCAGAGAGTCTTTGGAGGCCTCCAACCATAGAAGGTCTGGCCCAGTGGCTCCCAGCCAATTGGTAAGTGTCGGCTGGAGCTCCCCCGTGTCCAACAGTCTGTCCCGTTTCCAGGACTCAGTGGCATTGGATTCCCTCCATCCTCTCCCAGAGCCAGGCCGGGAGGTGATAGAGCAGAATCTTTCTCAGCCATGGGGAGAAACTGCCGACCATCTGGGAGCGCTGCCCCCCTGCCCCCTCTGCTCCTGGGCCCAGTTCGGGGCCAGTCCATGCAGATGTGAGTCCAGCCTCCCTCGAGGCGCGCCGGGCCCCAGGACAGTGTGTCCATTCACAGGCAGGGCTATTTTGAGGGCTGAGGACACATCCCAGCAGAGCCCAGGGCTTGGGCTTCTCAGACAAACTCTGGCAGGAGCGATTGTGCAGGGCGGACGGGCGGGGGAAGGGACGTGGCTGGGAGAGAGTGAACTCCCACCTTCCCCTTGACGTCTGTGGGGACAGGAACTGCCACTTCCCCCCAGGCTGGTGGTCACTGGGAGACCTGGGTCCCACACGGGCGCGGGGACTGTTCGACCCCCAGGTCTCATTTCTTCATCTGAGAATTGGGGACCAAGGGGCCGACTTGCCATCCGAGTCAGAGAGAGGGCTGCAAGCGTGGCTGGGTAAGACGCGCCTCAGATGAGGGCCTGAAGAGCCTGGTCCTTCCTCGTCCCTCAGGGACCTGGCACCGAGGCCTCTGGGTAGCACTGTGGTCAGGAGCTGGGCTCGAGGGACACACAACTGGGCTGTCATCTATGCTCTGCCTTGGGCTGACTGCTGGACCTCAAGGCAAGTGACCTCACCTCCTCGGCCTCCGTGTCCCCACATGCAAAGTGGTGTCACCGTGGGGACACACAGGTGTCTGCTCACACAAGACCCGAGCACCTGGCCAGGAGCACGGCGAGCCAGCAATAAACACACACGGGCCCCGTCTGCTCACGGGGCCTGCTGGCTGGCTCCACGCTCTTCTGCTCTGGAGAGGGGCCCTTCCAAGCCGGATCTATAGGACACCAGTCCCAGGTGACAAAGGGACAAGAGTCAAGGCTTCTTCTTCACCTCCCGCTAGTTCCTTCTACCACCAACAGTCACACCAAGTCTCTCCTTCAACGGGAATCCACCAGAAGCAGATGTTTCCATGGTGATCCAACAGAGACCACTAGGTGGGAGGGACAAGGGAGCTCAGAGGAAAGGGAGAGGGGACCAAGACTGGAAGATTTCTGGCACCCCCAAGTCAGGAGCGCCCCCCCCGCCCACCCCCAAGACCAAGAAAGTCAATTTTCTCCTAGCAAGTGTTAGAGGGGCCCAAGCTGGCCGGGATCGCCCGGACCCTATCCCCAGAGGAGCCTGTGGGGTTGAGAGCTGGGCTTCCATGCCAAATTTGGCTGGGTTCGTGGTCCTTTCGCCAGATCCCAGGAAGCAGCCAGACCAATGCGAGAGCTGGTTGTGCGGGGGACAGATTTGAGACTGAGGTGAACACCCCCAGTGGCCCTGCGGTGGTAGGGGGCAGCGATGGACACCCTCCCACGAGGGCCCTGTCCACTTCCCAGGCCAGCAAGACACAAGCTGAGGGGCTGGAGTGATAGCACAGCAGGTAAGGCATTTGCCTTGCATGCGGCCCAACCCGGGTTCGATTCCCAGCATCCCATATGGTCTTCTGAGCACCGCCAGGAGTAATTCCTGAGTGCATCGCCAGGAGTAACCCCTGTGCATTGCTGGGTGTGACCCAAAAAGCAAAAAAAAAAAAAAAAAAAAGACACAAGCTGAACATTGGCCCCTAGGGCCTATGTATCCCAGAGCGTCTTCTGGAAGCGGGTGGGAAGCTATGGCAGTCCCTCCCCAGGCACCCAGGGGCTGAGTGGTCGGGCAAGGAGACGTCCACGGGCACAGACAACCCCATGCACATGCCGAAGGAATGCAGGCAGCTGTGGCCACTAACACTGACCCTCTTGCCGAGCCACGCCACGTTTCCTCACCCCTACTCTGTTGTGTTTAGCTCCGGAACACCATTCCCTACGCCGATCTGCCTCAGTTCCCAAACGTCAGGACAAGCCCTGGGCGCCCCCTGCCCCCAACCCCGAACTCCACCTTCACGCCACCCCTGTCTTCGTTTCCTTGCCCTGGCCCTGATACCACAACCCGCTTCTCTTATTTCTTCAGTTTTAGTAGAGTGGGGGAGGGGCCACACCCAGCTGAGTTCAGGGGCCACTCTTGGCGGGATGAGTGGAGACCGTGCAGTGCCGGGGACGGAACCTGGGCCTCCTGCATGCAAAGCCCATGCTGAGCCGCCTCCCGTTACCCGGAGGCTGCTGGAGAGCTGGGGTCTGCGATGAGGGTGAACGGTGACCGGGGAGGGACACCGAGGGCCTAGTCAGCCTTTCCCAGTGAGGCCGGCTGCCAGCAGGGGCTGAGAGAGTAGACGACTGGGTCAGGGAAACTGAGGCAGCCATGAGGAGCTGAGACTGGGGTCTGAGGAGCCAGGATATAAAAGGCTTCCGGGGAAAAGAGGGGAAGCAGGGTGCCTGGGGTGCATGAGGACCAGAGGCCGGAGTGTGGTCGGATCTCCCCAGCCCTTTTGTTCTTTCTGGAGGGAGGGCAAAGGCTTGGCTACATCCATTGGTCAGGGCGGCCTCTCTGCCCCGGGGACCATATACAGTGTTCAGGAACCAAACAGGGCTCTGCACAATCTCCCCGGCTCCCCTTTTCCTTTTCAAAAGGTCGCGTGGGCAGACAGACAAGTCTCAGCCTGGTTTCTCCAGGGATCAATGGGTTACTAGAACGAAGAGCTGTCACACAGACAAGCTTCCTTCGTGTAGGAAAAGTGCCTGGCTGAAGGGGAACAGTCTGGGGGTGAGGCCAGCTCCTTGGGGTGTGGGCAGAAGCAGCGGCTTTCAGCCAGAGGAGGCCCCCCAACGCCACAGCTAACCTATGGGTATGGATTGCGTCCACACTAGGGCATACCGCAGGCTCTTCCCCCCAGATTCCATCCTTCAGGCCTGGTCCTTAAGGAAGCCTCTCATTTTTCTTTCCTTCTTCTTTCCTTTTCTTTCTTTCTTTCTTTCTTTCTTTCTTTCTTTTTTTAAACAAAAACTCCTATTGCTCATTAGCTGGGTATTGCTGGGTCTTGGTCTGGAATACAGGTTCAATTTCCTTCTCAGCATCAGGTCTTGGGTCAGGCCTCTTGTTCATGACAGAGATGAATTTTTTTTTTTAATCATAGGGGTTAGTTGAGGCCACACACACCACCAGCAAAAACCAGAGCCTGTAATCTGGCTTCTGAAGCCAGGGCGAGGGAACGCTGGACATGGGACTAAACCAAACCCGGCTTGGAGCCATACCCCCTTATCAACCACAAAACTACCTGCCTGAAGGTGAAAAGAAGGGGCTCGCCGGGGTGGGAGGGCCAGTACAGAGTAAGGCTCCTGCCTTGCACTTGGCCGAACCCGGGTTGATCCTCAGCATCCCATCTGGTGCCCCAGCACCGCTGGGGGAGTGATTCCTGGTCTCAGATTCCTGGTTGCAGGCTTAAGCCCTGAGCATTGCCGGGTGTGGCTCCAAACACCCCCCCCCCAAAAAAAAACAAACCACATACACAAAAGCAATAAAAAAGAAGAGCCTTGTCCCCACCGGGGCACGAGAGCGCCTTTGTTAGGACTTCCTCATGCCCTCTTCCCAGCACAGCTCCAGCGGGAAGAGGTGTGGGGCTCCCCGTGCAATCTCCATCCTCGAAGAAGTCTGGCCCACACTGGACTTTTTTTCCAGCCCTTTCTGCTGATGGGGCGCGGAGCGAGAGGTTCCGTGGCACTGCTCCTGGGCGCTGCAGCGCCCCCCCTCCCCTCCCGCCCCCCGGTACCTGGAGTGGCTTGTCTTTTTTTTCACTTGGGCATGGGGAGCCTGTGGCCCGCTTTTGCGCCCGACCCCCGCCCGCCCGCCCGGCGCGCACGCACTCACCCCCTTGCGCTGGTTGCTGAGGCAGAAGGTGCAGATGGAGCGCGGCTGGCGGCCGCCGTCGGCAGCGGCGGCGGCTGCGGCGGGGATGGCACCCTTGGCGCTGCCCGCCGCGCGGAAGCACGGCTGCCCGTCGTCGGCCGCGTCGCCCAGCAGCAGCACGTTGGCCAGGTGCGCGATGTAGCTGGACGCCAGGCGCAGCGTCTCGATCTTGGACAGCTTGCGGTCCACCGGCTCGGTGGGGATGAGCGTGCGCAGCGCCGTGAAGGCCGTGTTCACGCTCTGCGTGCGGTCCCGCTCCCGCGCGTTGGCCGCCTGCCGCTGTCGCACCACCACCACGGGGCCCGCACCGCCGCCGCCGCCGCCGCCGCCGCCGCCGCCCGCCCGCCGCCCGCCCCCGGGGCCCGGGCCGCGCCGCGCCGCCTCCAGGCCCTCGCAGCAGCCGAACGACTGGTCGGACGCGTCGCTCTCGCTGCGGTTCTCCTCGTCCTCGCTCAGCAGCCGCACGTCGGGGTACAGCACGTGCGCGCCGACGGGGCGCAGCAGCGCGAATGCCATGGGGCCGGGACCGCGTCCGCGCGTCCGTCCGTCCACCCGCGCGCCCCGCTCGAGCGTCCGCAGCGCCGTGCGCTCCCGCGCGCTCCCACGGCCCGGCCGGCCGCCGCCTTATAGCCGAGGGCGGGGCCAATCGCGAGGCCGCCCCGGCCGGGGGCTCCGCCCTGGCCAATGGGGACGCGCCCGCCGCGTCTCAGCCAATGGGAACGCGCCCGCCGCCCGGGTCTCCCAGGTTGAACGCGGCCCGGGAGCTCTGCGCCCGCCCGGACGGCAACCCGGTCGGCACCCGGCGATTCTGGCAGATTGATGCTGCGGGGTTCTGCGTGATGGGATGGGGCGACCCTAGTCCAGCCCGGGCCCCTTAGCCTCCGCCTTAGAGCCTCCGGGAGAAAACGGGCAGCTTCGTTTTTTCTAGCCGTCTTCTTCGTTGGAGGAGAGAACGACAGGGGAAGCCAGTTCGGGTCTTCGCCCCTTTTAAATTTCATCACACTAGTTCTGAGACTTTAAATGAGAGTCAAAAATTGGGGAGGGTGTTTTTTTGTATTGTTTTTGACTCCCCTCTTCTGTTTCACAGACTCAGGAATGCGCATTAACGTAACGGGAGTCTGGGGAGAACTTTCTCGCAGGAGCTGCGGTCTTTCCAAATAAGGACGTGACAGTGTCACATCCCTGACGACAAACTTGAGAAAGCAAAACCCCAAACAAAAGCAAAACAGAAACGCCAATCTCTCCATTTATTCATCCAACAAATATTTGTGAGGTCTCCGCACTGTGATTTCTGGTCCGAGGACAGAGATGTGATCCAAACGAACTTTGTCCTGGCAGAGCTGACGTTTCGGCTGAGGTCCCGCTATGTGACAGGCATTGGGCTGATCCTTACTACTCTGCCCTGAGATTGTGGGTAGTGCCCCAATTGCAGATAAATGTTCTTTCGGTCTTTAAAATGCAGGGACCTGGAATAGCCCTAGTCTGTCTTTCATATCCTACTCCCCCCACCCCCATTAAAACGCAAGTTTTGGGCTGGAGAGATAGCACAGTGGGTAGGGCGTTTACCTTGCACGCGGCAACCCGGGTTCGATTCCCAGCATCCCGTATGGTCCCCTGAGCACCACCAGGAGTAATTCCTGAGTGTAGAGCCAGGAGTAACCCCTGTGCATCGCCAGGTGTGATCCAAAGAGCAAAAATAAATAAATAAAATAAAACGCAAGTTTCTCTTCTCACTCCCAGTCCTTTTCTTTTCCTTTTGGTGGGGGGGGGGGGGCAGGGAGCAAATGGAGGGTCACACCCAGCAATACTCAGGAACTACTTCTGGTACTTCTGTCCCTGTGCTCAGGCGACACTCCCTGTGGGGCTTGGGTGTATCATAAATGGTGCCAGGGATTGAAGCTAGGTCAGCCATGTACAAAGCATGTACCTTGTTACATGGCTTGCCCAGAATTCATGCTTACTATCCCACCTCAGCTTGGAATACTTAAGCCGCCCCTCTTACACTCCACTTTTTCTTCCCTCATCCGCCTGCCTGCCTTCAGGAAATCTTAGATTGTTCAGTCTGACAGGTCCTCCTCAGAGGGTCTGAAAAGAACCATTTAGCTGTTGATGGCTCCTGGGGTCTTCTCACCGTCGTGCCCACTGCCTAGCTCCATCCTGGGGCTGGCTAAGCCAGCATCCACTTGGCCTTGAAAATATCTCTCCTGCGCAAATGGCATCCATGAGGCAGACAGATACAAGGAGCAAGCCAAAAGGCTCCCAGGTCTCTTTCAGCTCCATCTTCCTCTTGGTGAGCATGCGTCTCTGCTCTGCCACTCTCTCTTCCTAACTTCCCTGACCCTGGCCAGAACGAGGGGGAGGGAGGTTCAAGAGCTGCTGAGAGAGCTTCAGGCTAGGGGTCTGTAGTAAAGTCTGTTCCCACACCTGGCTCCCTGGCTCCCCCTCCCCTTTCCACCATTTGACCGTGACCCCGGCCAGGCTGGGCTTGGGGGAAGAGGAGAAGGAGCCGCGGGGTCCCCCTCCCCGCCGGCCAGTCCCACACGCAGCCCCAGGCCAGGCTGCTGCTTCCTGCACTGATGAATTATTACCGGGAGATTTCCTTCCCTGTCTGCGCCTCCTCACAGGGGCTCCCAGGCTCCCCTTCACTTTCGCTTTCTCCCCCCTCCTCCCCCTCTCTCCTGCTCTCAACCCTCAGGTGGCTCGAGATTCCTCCGTCCAGCTCCTCCCCCTTCCAGCTTGGGACCAGCCAAACTGGGTGTGAACCGAGCCGGAAGGCGGCGGGGGCAGGACGGGGCTGACCTGGTAAGCTCATCCATTCATTTTGCAACTCGGGCAGGTTTTGACACAGGGGACCCAGGAGGAAAATAAAACCATGAATGAGACGGAGACGGGCCTTCTGCACCCCAGAGGGGAAGGCGCGCTGTAAACAGAGACTCACAGGACAATGTGGTAGGAGCAAGCCAGGGTCTGGCATCAGAGAGACCTGATTCCGGCCCAAGGTCAGCGACTTCGAGTGTCCGTTTCTGGCTTTCAACCCCAAGGATAATAATAGTCCCGCTTGTCAGGCCAGTGAGGGTTCCCGTGAGTTAATGCCAATCGGGCCCTGGCCCAGCCCTCCACGTGCAAGGGCTCTGTGCCTGCTGGTACGGGCCAGGGCCAGGAGCCTACGGAGGGAGGGACCGGACGCTCCCCCGCCCCCCATAGAACTTGTCCCATTCTTCACTCGCCCCACCAGGCACTTCAACTCTTTGTCCTTTGTCCCTCCCTCTGCTTCAGCCACACTGGCTTCCTCCTGCTTCCTGGACCCCCTCTGCTCTGCTCTGCTCGGCAGACTCTGACCCCCACCCCCAAGTCCCCAACTCTATCTCTCACTTCCTTCCACTCTCCACTCAAAGTTCACCTCCTCATAGGGAGAACTTCCTGGACCCCTGAGAGGACAAGAGCAATGGTCTCTCCACCCCCCTCTACCTTACTTCTCCATGTAGTATTTATCATCACTTTCGTGCTTCCTCTTTCTTTACTCATTCATGCACAAGCGTGAATCCAACGCTGTGTGCCAAGGATATAGAGCAAGGAGCAACCGGCCCAGGGCGTCTGTCTTTCACTCTTCTCACTTCCCATCACAGCCTTCAGAGTACAGTTTGCTATTATACCCATTTTGCAGTGAAGAAACATTCTTTTGTGTGCGTGCGTGCATGTGTGTGTGTGTGTGTGTCATACCCAGTGATGCACAAGGGTTACTCCTGGCTCTGCACTTAGGAATTACTCTCGGTGGTGCTCAGGGGACCATATGGGATGCTGAGAATCGACCCTGGGTCGGCCACATGCAAGGCAAATGCCCTACCCACTGTGCTATCGCTCCAGCCCCAGAAACAGAGATTCTGAGGAGGGATTGTGACTTACCTGAGATCACACAATGGGCCCAGTGGGGCAACCTAGGTCAGGCAAACACCATTCCCAACTGCAAGACCTCTCAGGCAGCCAGGAGGAGCATGAGGGCTGAGTACGAATGTGCAGGAGAGAAAGGGAAGGTCTTAGGGGCTGAGAGACCAGACCTGGCCCTGCTACCCCCACAGGGCTCCCGGGTTCCAGTGTCACTAGGACACGAGGAGCCCCTCTGTGGCATCTGTGCTGTACATTGCTGCGCCTTTGCCCTGCTGTTTCCTCATCCCTGCCTTGACCATCCATCACTTTTGATCTGAGCAAACCGCCCGACCCCTCTGCCAAACTTCAGTGTACTTAACCTCTGGGCTGTTCCTGGCCTACCTTGACACAAACTCTTGTTTTGTTTTTGCAGGGCCAGGGGGAACACCCATCTTCCTCCTGGCTCTGTGCTCAGGGATTTACTCTGAGTGGTGTTCAGGAGACCATATATGACAGACCCAGGAGTCTTGGCTAGGCTCCTTGCAAGGTGAGTGCCATCTCCAGCCCAGTGCAAACTCCTGTACAGAGGTAAAGGTAAAGGTAAAGGCCCTCCCGTTGATCGTCGATTTGCTCGAGCGGGCCCAGTAACGTCTCCATTGGAGACTTTGTTGTTACTGTGTTTGGCATATCGAATACTCTCGGTAGCTTGCCGGGCTCTCTGAGAGGGGCGGAGGAATCGAACTCGGGTCGGCCATGTTGGCCACTTGTAAGGCGAACACCCTACCGCTGTGCTATCGCTCCAGCCCTAGAGGCTCACACCTTATTTGACTTTTCTCCCTTCGCTCCTCACTCCCTCCTGCCAGGCCCCTACTCCCACTCTGGGTATGTGGCACAGAAATCCTTCTCTCCTGGTCTCCACCCTCTTCTGTAGATTAATCCCTCCCCATTGAATAGATCTGCTGGCACACCCAAGAAACACACCTATAGAAATGGCCGTCTGTCTAACTCTGTGAAAAAATCCATTCCATCAAATCAGTATCATAAATCATATAGGATATAAATATGCCCAAAGACATAAAAATATTCAAAGGGAACCCACCAGATGAGTCAACCACAATATTGATGAAGACCAAAGTTGAATGATAAACATCAAGACTTCACTAATCAATACGGAATAGAATCAAAGAAAGAACATGTGAATGTACCAATGGAATGCATGTGACTGGAAGAATATGACAGAAGATGGGGCCAGAGCGATAGTACAGTGGGTAGGACATTTATCTTGTACATGGCTAACCTGGGTTCGATTCCTGGCATCCCGTTCTGTCCCATGAGCACCTCCAGGAGTAATTTCTGAATTCAGAGTCAGGAGCAACCCCTGATTATTGCCGGGTATGACTCAAAAAGCTAAAAGAAAAAGTGGGAGTGGGGGGAGAAAGAATATGACAGAAAGGGCCAGAGAGTTAGTACAGTGGTTAAGGTGCTTATCTTGATCCTGTTGGTTTTGGTTGGAATCCCTGGCAGTGAGCACTGCTAGGGGTCACTCCTGAGCACAGAATCAGAAGTAGCCCCTGAGCATCACAGGGTATGAACTCCCCCAAACCCCAAACAGACACAAAAGCAGAAATGAGAGCATGTGACTTGTGATTCTGTCTGAAAAAGGCAATTATGCTACTGCTTCACACTCTTGAATCACTTGGGTCAGCAGATACCCAAAGACCGTCCCATCCGTGTGAAGAAAGGCCATGCGGGAGGTGCTGAGATGCCACCTACATCCAACACCAACGTGCCGGGTGTGAGTGGGAGCCTCTGGGATGTGGATCCTGAATTCCTGACTCAGGGGAACTGTGAAAAACAACCATAATAAAACAGGAAGGCAAACAGAAATAAAAATAATAAATATTGGTAATATAGGCCGCTATTTTTAGGGTATTTGAAGGGGTTGGAAAAGTTCTGGACCACACCTGGAAGTGCTCAGGGGTTACAACCAGCTCTGTGCTCAGAAGTGACCCTTAGTAGTTCTCAGGGGACCATATACTGTGACAGGGATTGAACAGGGGTTGGGAAGGGTCTTTGGGACACTGGGAAAGGGAAGTGAGCTCTTTGGCACCAGGTGTGATGCTGGAACAATGCATGAATAAATAAATATATATAATTAACAGGATTGTAAATCCCATTGCCTCAATTATAAAAAAGTGAAAAAATAAATTAAAAAAAAGACTGAGGACTCCTGCAGAAAAAATTTCCTGGGATTTTATTTTCATCTGCATTTTCTAGGTTTAGTTGGCCCTAGACTCTCCTCACCGAAGCCCATCATCCTCCATCTGACTAAGGACCCAGGTTAGCAGGTATTTCTCGAGGCCTCAGTGCCAGCCACGTGGTGTGGATGAGTGCCCCATTCTTTCTGAGAGCACATTGGTAGGAGTGAGAGGAGAGGGAGTAGGTGGCTGTCTGGTACCAGGAATATCTGGGTGAAGAAGGGGCCTCTAAGGTATTTCCCCAGAACCCCGCTTTTTAAAATTTATTTATTTTTGGTTTGGGGGCTACACTGGCAATGCTTAGTCCTTATCCCAGGCTCTACACTCAGGAATTACTCCTGGCGGTGCACAGGGGACCATATGGAATGCCTGGGTCCACCACATGCAAGGCAAGCTCCCTATCAGCTGTTCCCCCAGCCCCAGAACCTCATTTCTTTTATTTTTTTTCATAATGCACAACTCTTTTATTTCAAAATGTTTGGGTCTAATAAATTTTCAACATATTAGTAAGCTGCATTTTTATTAATTTTTATCTGTTTATATTTTCTCTACTTTGGCTAAGGAGTATATCTTATTATCATTCAAAATAGTTGTTTAGAAATCTGACACATTTCTTATATAAGCAAATAAAATTTACATTTTCTAATTGGGATTGCATTTTTAAAGTATTATTTTGCATTATTATCCTCACTTATGTCACTTTCTTCTGCATTTGTCTTATCTTCTTTACCTCATTTCTTTTTGCGCAGGGGTTACTCCTGGCTCTGCACTCATGAATTACTCCTGGTGGTGCTCAAGGGACCATATGAGATGCTGGGAATCGAACCCGGGTCGACCGCGTGCAAGGCAAACGCCCTACCCGCTGTGCTATTGCTCCAGCCCCTTTACCTCATTTCTTAAGGAACACTATCATATCACTGGAAATGCTACGTATCAGGAAAAAGTGTCTTCTGCACACCTGTCAAGGAGCTGTCATGAAACTTGGAATTATAATTTTATAGAGGAATTTCTAATTCAGAGCACCATGAAAGACAATGGCCTATATCAAAAAGACTAAAAACAACCAGTGCTGGTGGGGATGTGGTGAAAAAGTGATTTTCATTCAGGATGGGTGGGACTGTTGTCTGGTTTCCTCTCTATGGAAAGCAGTACAGAGACTTCTCATAAAAAGAAGTAGAAAACTCCCATATGACCCAGCAATTACACTTCTTGGCAGCTACCCCCAAAAACACAAAATCATGACTTGAAAAACTATGTGCACACCTATGTTCATTGCAGCTCTTAAGTACAATAGCCAGGATATGGAAATAACCCAAAGGTCCAATGACAAAGGAATGAATAAAGAGGATGTGGTATATATACACAATGGGATACTATGCCGCTATAAGAAAAGATGAAATCATGCAGTTTGCTGCAATGTGGATAAAACTGGAGGTATCATGTTAAAGCGAAATAAGTCAGAGAAGGACATATACTGATGATCTCACTCATCTGTGCAACAGAGAACGACAAAACAGGGGCGTAGACAACACCCAACAATGATGAACCCTTGGCCTTGGATTACAAAATGGATTGCTGAGCACTAGAGGGGGAGGTGGGGTATAGGGAAGTATGAGGACCAGACTGGAAATGACATGGGGACAGTGATGGGGGCTGGGGGGCATTTTGGTAGTGGTGGTGATGCAGTAATTTTGTATATTAATACTATGTATTTTATTTATTTATTTGCTTTTTGGGTCACATCCTGTGATGCACGGGGGTTACTCCTGGCTTTGCACTCAGGAATTATTCCTGATGGTGCCCGGGAGCCCATATGGGATGCTGGGAATTGGACCCCGGTTGACCGCGTGCAAGGCAAATGTCCTACCCACTGTGCTATTGCTGCATCCTCAATACTGTGTACTTTAACATGATTGGACCATCTTATCTAAAATATCACATGCACATAGAGATTATTAATAGTTAAATTAATAATATACTAATGTTTCCTTTTTATGAATGAATAGACTAAGAAAGAGGTTAAGTAAATTACCTGAGGTCACACAACTAGGAAGTGAACAGAAATTCCTTTTTTGTTTGTTTGATTTTTGTTTTGGGGTGACGTTTCTGGCTCTGTGCTCAAGGATCACTCCTGGAGGGCTCAGGGGACTGCATGAAGTGCCAAGGATTGAATCTGGGATCACTCCTGGTGGAGCTGGGGGATCATATGAGGTACAAGGGATTGAACGCAGGTCTGCTGCATGCAAAGCAAGCACCCTATCTCTTATATTATCTTCCCAGCCCCTGGACAGAAATTCTATGATAGATTATGGGGAAGAGAAGGAAGGAAGTTCAAGCTTAGATTCTCTTAAAACTGCTTCTGGGAGAGCGTGCCTATTCACCAGAGTGTTCCAATTGTGTGGAGTGGGGATGCAAGTCCTGGGCCTGAGCAGAATTGCTCAAATGCAGAGACCAGGCTGGTGCTTCTCTGAGAGCTTCCCTCAGCTCCATTCTTATAGGAGCTCAGTGTTCCCAGGTAACAAGGCCAAACTAAAAGCCAAGCTATATAGAGAGACCACAGGAAAGTGCTTCCCAACGGTTTTCACTTGCTTCTGATACCATTTTTCCTGTGCTTGCAGCCCGGGGGCAGATAATACCAGCAAAGATGACCCCCTGGGATGCAATCCCAGCCCCAACTATTGAGCCAGCCCACCTTTGCAGAGTCCCAATTGAAGCCTAAGACCCAAAGGAGCAAGAACAAGGTTTCCCAGCTGTCCCTGTTAGAAATTCTCAGTTATAGAATCTGTGTGCCTAAGAAAACAGTCACTTTATTATTAAAAATTTTTTTCCTGCCTCTTTATTCCATAAATTTTTCCATTTAAATAAGCAGAACCAGGAGAGAGGGTGAATGCAGTCTCTCACTACCACAAATTATGCAGTCGAGTTTCCCATGTTTGGGATATAGCCGGGGTCAGCACATCTGGAGTGCAAAGAGAAGACTCGCCCTGGGAAAACCACCTTCGTGATTATGGTCTCTTCCCTGCTAGGTAAGGATAGAAAATGGTCGTTTTAAGACTATAATTTGCAGGAGCAATTTGTCCCATCGTGATGTTAATTGTAACTGTAGCTCACAGCAATGCCTCCCAGAGAACCTCTTCTTGCCTGGAAGTACCAAAATCTGAAAGTGAAATGAATTTTTTAATGCTCACTCTGTTAAGTCATGGCACACACTTGCACTGGTAAACACACCAACCACTGCTCCAGGGTGAAACGGAGGCGTAGGTTTGTGTGAGCCTCTGGTCACACTGTTTTCTTTTTCTTCTTTTTTTTTTTTAAATATGGGAACCTTCATGAATTTGAGTGTCATCCTTGCACAGGGGCCATGGTAATCTTCTCTGTATAGTTCCAATTTTAGTATATGTGCTGCCGAAAACGGTCACACTATTTTCATTCCACACTCTCGCTCTGAGTGTGTTTCTGTTTAATGACCCTTATTTCATACATCCTGTTGATTCCATCCACATTGATCTCATGGACACAGCCCTGTAATTCATACCTGAACAGCATTAACCTGATGTGATTTTTTTTTCTCTGCAAAGCACATCACAAACTTCTTTTTTCTTTTTTTATTCTTTTTGGGTCACACCTGACGATGCTTAGGGGTTACTCCTGGGTCTGCACTCAGGAATTACTCCTGGCAGTGCTTGGGGGACCATATGGGATGCTGAGAATTGAACCTGGGTCGGCCGCTTGCAAGGCAAACACCCTACCCACTGTACTATTACTCCAGCCCCAATCATGAATTTCTTGAGTCTAGAAAAGTCAGCTTGCATTTTCAGCACTGTGCATGGGACCATTTTAACAGAGAAAACACTGAAAGCATGAACATATAGCAATGAATAGGCACCAAAAGATCACCAAAGGGGCCAGAGAGATAGTACAGTAGGTAGGGCATTTTGCCTTGCACATGGCCAACCTGGGTTCTAGCCCCAGCATCCCATATGGTGCCCAAGTCCATCAGGAGTGATTCCTGAGTCCAGAGCCAGGAGTAACACCTGGGCACTACTGGTGTGACCCCAAAATAAAAAAAGAAAACAAACAAATGAACAAAAGACTGCCAAAGGACTCTTGTCCCTAGTGTGAAGTTCAGACAAGAGGCAGGACATCAGCTGGGAGCGTATGTGAGCGCTTGGCGGCCCAAGTGTCTGTGAATGATCTCAGGAGCTCTGCAAAGTTTATTGCAGGATTACTAACAGATACTTTGAACAGTCAGTAAGTTCACAAACACGTAGCTTGGAATATTAAGGACTGACTATTGTTCAAGAGGTCCAAGGCTTGGGGCCAGAGAACTAGTGCAGCAGCTTAAGGTACTTGCTTTGCGTGCAGACGACTTGGTTCGATCCCCAGCACCTCATACGGTCCCTGGACCCTGCCAGAGTGATCCTTGAGCAAAGAGCCAGGAGAAAGCCATGAGCATTGCTAGTGGGGCCCCCAAACCCAAACCCAACCAAGCAAACCCCCCCAAAACTCCAAGGCTTGCAGTCGGGATTAACAATTGTTAATAATTGGAGAAAATAGAAAGGACAAGAGCAGGACAAGGCATGTACCAAGGACCTGAATTTTTCTCATTTGTAAAATGTGGGTGACAAACCTGTGGTGGTCTGGGGAGCGGAGGGCATGTGAGAACTGTAGCTGACTGAGGCCGAGTACTGAGTACTGGGTACTGAGTGATTTACACAGCTGCACTCATAGACTCCTCATATGGCCCCGTGAGAGAGCCGGGTATTGAGTCCATTTCACAGAGGTGGAACCTGAAGCCCAACAGGGCCCGTGAACTTTGTCCAAGAACAGGCAACACCTGGTCTCCAGTGGATTTCGGCTGAGATTCACGACCATGCACTTCCCCACCTTGCTCTCCCGGCTGCCCAGGTTTGTAAATGTGGCTGGTGTAGAAATTGTGCACGCTGAGTGGACATTCAGTGGTGATCTGAGGGCCTTGGAGGGGACCCCCGCAAAGCATGTGTGTGGGCTAAGCCCCGGGGCAGGGCGGGAGCTGGGGGGAGAATTGGGGTGTGTTTGGTAGCAGGCAGGGTGGGGAGCTGGGCTGGTCTTGAGTGGATCCTCATGGTCCTCTCCCACAGAGGGTTAAAGCCGTCCAGCCTCCTTCCGGCTGAGCGGAAGTCAGACCCTGAGAGCCGCTCAGGGATCCAGAGGGATGTTTTTCTTCTCCATTTGTCTGCTGTGGCTGGCCCATAAAATCCACCGGAACTACATGCCTGACGGAGGAATTCCTGCTGAACAGAGACACCCCGGAGGAGAGGGCAGTGGGGACACCACCTCCCTCTTCCAGGTCACCCCACCCTCTGGGTCAGGTGACCCCCTTCTGGAGCCCCCTTGGATGGAGGTTTGTTCAGACAAGGGACCCCCCCATCCCCCTGCAAATGAACTCAAGGGGTGAGAGGAGGGAGGAGGGGAGGGATCAGGCGGTGACAGCTAAGGGGGTGGGATTCAGGTGCTCCCCTTCTGTGTTGGGTCACATGGGGCAAGTGTCTGTTCATTTCTCCATCTGAGCACCCCGGGACCCCCAGTAAACATGATCCCTGGCTATCACTGACAGTTTGAGGCTTTCTTGAACTAGCAGATCCTTTGCCTGCATTTCTCTTCCTGAAGGCAGTGATGATCGCTTCTATTTTCCAAGGAACCAGTGAACTGGGGCTCAGAGAGTGGACCTGCCCAGTGTCTCCGTCTGGAAGGGACAGGGAGGGGTCCAAACCCAGTCCCCACAATGGCAGACACCCTTATTCAAGCTTTCCCTCCAGACCTCCCGACATGAATGACCTGTCTCTAGTCATCCAGGGGTGCCCTCTCCCTCTTGCCTTGCTTGACCCGCTCACTTCGTAAGGCTGCACACAAGCCCTCCCAGTAAGACTGGCCAAGCACGAGGCCACTAGGCTGTGAATGTTGCCCAGGCCTCGTTCTAGTTACACAGCCTCTGAAGGAAGAGTTCTCTCTTCTTTATTTATTTTTGCTTGTTTTTGGTTTGGGGGCTACTCCTGGCGGTTCTCAGGGGCTTACTGCTCGCTCTGCATTCAGGGATTACTCCTGGAGTGCTCTGGGGATCATATAGGATATCGGGGATTGACCTTCAATCAGCCATGTGCAAGACAAGTGCCCAACCTGCTGTCCCATGGCCCTGGCCCCGTCTCCTCTTGACTGTGTGTTGACTCGCACCTGGGATGCTGTTCCATCTCAGGAACACCAGTGAAAAGTCCTACTGTGGGTTTTGGCAGGTTCAGATGGGATGTTGGAAACTGCTGTGAACTTGTCAAAAAACAAATCCTTCTCTCTGTTTTATTTTTCACACTCGACAATGCTCAAGGGTTACTCCTGGCTCTGCACTCAGGAATCACTCCTGGTGGTGCTCAGGGGACCATATGGGATGCTGAGGATCAAATCCAGGTCAACCGCATGCAAGACAAACTCCCTCCCTGCTGTACTATTGCTTTGGCCACTCCTTTTCTTCTTCTACGTCTTACTCCAAAGGTAAAACTTCCTTCAACTGAGAATAACCCCCTTGCAAAAATTATATATATATATATGTGTGTGTGTGTGTGTGTGTGTGTGTGTGTTTATATCTGTCTATCTGTCCTCCCATTGTTCATCGATTTGCTCGAGCAGGCCCAGTACCATCTCCATCGTGAGACTTGTTGTTACTGTGTTTGGCATATTGAATATGTCATGGGTAGCTTACCAGGCTTTGCTGTGCAGGCGAGATACTCTCGGTAGCTTGCCGGGCTCTCTGAGGGGGGTGGAGGAATCGAACCCGGCTCAGCTGGGCTGGCTGTGTGCAGGGCAAATGCCCTACTGCTGTGCTAACTATATATTTGAAGTATGCTAGTTAGTGGAACTTGGGGGTTATGGATGGGAAGCAACTAAGTAGAACCCTGAGTTTCTCCCTGGGAGAAACCCTAAACTTTGTTCTGGAAAATAAAGTCCTTCCTTCCTTCTTTCCTTCCTTCCTTCCTTCCTTCCTTTCTTTCTTTCTTTCTTTCTTTCTTTCTTTCTTTTTTCTTTATTTTCTCTCTCTCTGCCTTCCTCCCTCCCTCCCTCCCTCCGTCTCTCCCTCCCTCCCTTCCTCCCTCCCTCCCTCCTTCCTTCCTTTCTTCCTTCCTTCTCCTTCCTTCCTTCCTTCCTTTCTTTTTTTCTTTATTTTCTCTCTTCCTTCCTCCTTCCCTCCCTCTGTCTCTCCCTCCCTCCCTCCATCCATCCTTCCTTTCTTCCTTCCTTCTTCTCCTTCCTTTCTTCCTTCCTTCCTTCCTTCCTTCCTTCCTTCCTTCCTTCCTTCCTTCCTATTTCCTTCCTTTCTTTCTTTCCTTCTTTCTTTCTTCACTTTTTGGCCACATCTGACAGTACTCAGTAGTTATACCTGGTGGTGCTCAGGTCCCCATATGGAGTGCCAGGGATAGAACCTGGCTTGATCATGGGCAAGGCAAGTGCCCTACGGCTGTACTATCTCTCTAGTCCCATAAAGTTATCTTTTAATAATAATAATAATAATAATAATAATAATGTGTGTGTCCTCCCGTTCATCGATTTTGCTCGAGCGGGCCCAGTAACATCTCCATTGTGAGACTTCTTGTTACTGTGTTTGGCATATTGAATACTCTCGGTAGCTTGCCAGGCTCTCCGAGAGGGGCGGAGGAATCGAACCCGGCTCTGCCGGGATGGCTGCGTGCAAGGCAAACGCACTACCGCTGTGCTATCATAGTAAACCTTTCCTCATGCATCACCTCCTCCAAGAAGCCTGCTAGGACTAGCTCGGCTGTGTTAGGGCTCTTCTCTCGCTAACTCCACCCCTGGCTGGTGACTGCTTTGGCCCTGAGCAGGAGCTGATGCCCCTGTGCCTCTGGCATCAGCCAGTCCAAGAAACTTTCACTTTGACTTGAAGATGCCAAGCGCTTGTGGTGGTTTCAGAACAAGACCCTCCTGAAGGGGAACGGCGGTCCCTTTCGTTTCACTTTATTCTATCTATTTATTTATTTTCCTGGTGCCAGGGTGTGAGATGTGAGGCAAGTGCTCACCCCCTGAGCCACGTTCCCTCCCATGTAGTCTGGGCGACTACTGAGGCCGGACCGTAGGAAGTGACTGGGTTTCCCTTTATTTGTTGGAGCATCCACTTTGGGGGACTCGAGCCAACCCCAAGCCACTCGCAGAAGGAGCTCAGGGCACAGGGAGAGGCCATGTGGAGGCTCTCACGCCACCTGTTCTGTCTCCTGGTCCAGGGCCTCAAGACAGCCACCAGTGGGGGGTCCCTCACGGCAGCGCCCACACTCACGGCAGCACGGCTGCCACCGAGCCCAATTATCTCCCTTCCTTTTTGTTTTCCTTTGTATTTAGAGGACCACACCCGGGTGTGCTCAGGGGTCAGTCCCGGCGGTGCTC